ATCTCCTCTATCAAATGCAAAAACAATCATCTGAAAATTATGAGAACTACGCAAGATAACACCAAATTATCCGACATATGTCTCCTCTGAATGAAACATACAATACGATATCAACAGAAAATTGTCATCAGATCACAAAGCAATGATATTGCACCTATTTTTCATATACAACAGTAATTGAAACAAGTTTACTGTTAAGAACAAAAAACCAACTATGTATTGTATGTACTAAGTGCGTCGTTGGCATAACGTCTAATTGTACAGAATGTACAGACGAAAATGGACGTTGGTTACCAGAGCAATATAGACAGGCTTCATTAGAGCAAGTTGTGCATGCAATGGAAGATGCTTAGATGATTAGAGTTTGTTTTGTTTTACGATAGAAATTGTTACACTTGATATTTCAATCTCAGTTAAGATCCATATCCTTATAAGCATATATTTTATAATCTTTACAGTTTAAATGCTCAAACGAACACGAACCAATCTCAATAGTATTGCAAAAACTCAATATTCGAACAAAAAAAAAGAATTTTGTGGCAAAAAAGAATTTAATTAATAAGTGACTACAAGTGAGTCAAATGAAACTTTGTTATGATGTGATAAAAAAAACAATTATTTCACGAGTAAAGTCTGGGCCTATGGATGTTTCATGTTAATCTCTATAGTTTATACTGCGGTTCTGATAGCATTTTCCAAAATTTTTCCCTCTGAACAAAGCGCTGGACCAGTTTGAGTCTGTCGTTACAGAAGTAAGAAAACTCAATTTCCTGTAAGAAAAAACATTTTGTGGATGTTATAGAGAGTTCCTTTCCTGTTCAAAATAAAAAACTATTAAAAGAGATGTACAGATATAGAAAAGTGAAAACTTTCATTTGAGTCAAAGTTCTAATAGGACTTGAAGTGTTTAAACTTGATTTGTTATAGATATCTATGATGTCGTTGTAACTCTCTAAATACTATTCTCTTCTCTTTTTTAATATTCTTATTTTCTAGGTTGCTCTCACCATTATATTTAGTTTACCAATGGATTTTTACAAATTCTACGCTTCTTTAACTGCTCCTACAGAAAAATCATTGAAACGTAAAGAAATTGAAAGTTCTTTTTGCACAATTTTGTATTCCTATAACATATATCAATAATTCAATGATGTTCTTTGCCTATACACTTACAGAACGTATATTTCGTCAAGAATTATTTAAATTAGTATTAAAATGTAAATAACTGTATATAAAAAGACTTAAATTCGAAAATATGAGTTTTGTCCTATGAACAAGTTTTCAATGGTTATATGTTTATCTTTATTATTACACTTCACAAACGTTAACTGCTTCGTGAAATCAAACTTCTGTGGTCTAAGTCATTCAATTATCTGTCGTTAATTTTGAAATATTTTCTAAATCTTACTTCTAATCTAAGTTTTCAAATACTGTTCATTACTCACCCTCACCCTTTGTTCAAACTTATCATTGAATTCTCAAGATAATGACAAAACTTTCAAATATTTAACTTCAGAGAAGTCAAAGCTTGCACCATTGATCATCAATCAGTTGAAGACTTTTGAGAGAAGTGCAGTTGCATCTTCAAAATGATAATTCAATATAAAGTGGAATAGTATTTCATTTTTTTAAAATTTATTGATTCACTAGTGGATGTGAATATCATGCATTGCATAATATCCTAACTATCTCAAATAGAAAGATGATTATGATATAAAAAAATCTTTATCAAACATTCAATTCTACATCGTATCGGTCAAGAGGTCATTTACAGGACATATTGTCTGACTGATACTTAGAAAGAAATAAAAGAAAATCTAACCATTACCTATCTTCTCTGTTTCTATATCTTTAGCTAAGATTTATTCTTTTCGTTTGATTCTATACTTAGACGTAGCATGATTACTCATTTATTATTCATAGTTAAACATCAATATTCTTTTCATATAATATGTCATCATCTACTTGTTTAAGAATCAAACAATATTTAGTTAAACAAAATAATTGTAAAATTGCATTCTTTGTTATATGCTGTTCTATAATTGGTATTCTTTTATTATTTCATAGTTTAAAAGAATTGTATATAATCAAAACATTAGTTATTGGTCAATGTTATGTTAAATCACTTGATTTAAGAATTGAAAAAGATAATGTTTATCCTCTTGGTTTATTACAGTAATATATGATAATCAAAAGAATGAAGATATCATGATTGGATCCACTGGTTACAGAATAAGATACGATCCATGTGATAGAGCACATGATCATAGGGTAGGAAACGATTTTTCTTTAAAAATCAAAACAATGTGTTCTATTTAGATCAATGAAACACATCGATGTTATCGTTGGAAAAGTTTAACATCGACTTCCGGATTAGGTTGGCAATGGAATAAACCATCAGAATCAAACATCGGTGCTTTTTTATTTAGCGGAACTGTACTACTTGTTATAAGTATAATAATTCCAATATTAAGACGACGATATCAAACAGAATTTCAAATAAGACAACAACAACAAATAGAAATACCATTAAGAAACCAACATGGTTCACCACCAACCTATGATGAAGCAATAGAAATTCTTACTCCGACAACAACACAAACAAGAACCTAGTTTTGATAATCTTCAATTCTTTTTCTTATGCTTATTATTTCTGGAAGCGAGGATGGGTGTGACTAACACTTATCATGTTTATCGATTCCACTTGCTTACATTCACACCCTTATCCTTAGATAAAATCCATTATCGTTACGTTACCAACCATAAAGAGTGTCCCACAAGTTCTGTAACGATTTCTAGAACGATGAATTTACAAATCGTTTTAGAAAAAGAAATTCCTTACTATACCAAACGATAGACAATTTAATTCTCTACAAGATTGTATATTCATTTTTAAGATTCATCTTTGATGTTTGGCACAGTAAGTCTAACAGGAAAAGATTTTATACTGAAATAGTCAAAACTTTGTTTAGTGTTAGAAACTTCGGTGGACTTGAAAGTTTATGTATTAAAGTCATTAGCAATTGAAATAAATTAAATTCAAGTAGACGCTTTTGTAAAGCATGAAAGTCTTCACCATTTAACTGTAATAAAATTATTTCAAATCTTTTTGTACTCATTACAAGCAATTAAAAAAAGAGAACAGTCTGCACTTTAAAACTGCGTGGTACAGTTAAAAAATTTGGAGTTTTTCCTGTTAGACGTACTGTGTCAAACATCAAAGATGAATCTTAAAAATGAATATACAATCTTGTAGAGAATTAAATTGTCTATCGTTTGGTATAGTAAGGAATCTTTTTTCTGAAACAATTTGTAAATTCATCGTTCTAGAAATCGTTTCAGAACTGGTGGGGGACACCCTTTATGTTACTTCTTCCAGTAATTGAGTTTTTCTAAACAGTTGAAAATTCAATTATTTCTTCTAGTTTTTTGAAATCTCGAAATTCAACAATAAAATCACAATGTCGACCGCTATTTGGTTTTGCTGAGCCCGATACATAAAAGGTATAATATTTTTCTTACAAATACGGAGAATTATTTTCAAATATCTCTGCTTATTCATGACTACGAGGTTATATTTGTCTTTGACATTCCATTTATAAATGAAACTGATCAAATCGACGTTCATTCAGAGACATGGATCGGTCAAACGATTCCAACGTTACCAGTGGCAGAGCTATATATGGACTCAGTCCAATTCATACAGAACTCTGATATGTACAGTAGAACAAAAAATATTCCAACATTGTATAGATTAAAAATATCGAACGTATGGAGCTGCAGAGAAGAAAAGCTAAGAATAAGTTCTCCGCAAAAACGAAGAGCAGAAGAAAATTTTTTGATCTGATATTTTTTGAAGAACAAATGAGAATTTGTATTATTCACATTGTTTATTGTGGAAGGTAAGTAGCCTCAATCACAAAAAATTTTCTTCGTTTAATTTTGCCTGCAAACGCCTGGATTAAGTTACAAATTATAATGACGTTTTTAATTTCATCGATTTCAACAACAACTGATTGGTCTTGTGTTTGATCAGGGGCATAACTGCAAAAAACTCTACTCAATTAAGAAGTCATTTTTGTCTTTTCTTTGATCTCTCATTTCAGTTTAAACCAAGTAAAAGTAATAAAACATCTATATCTAAAACAATGCAGGTAAATAACATCCCTAACAGGCCCTACCAATTATCTAAACATCATGTATTTATTCCCACTCGATGATATTTTTTCATCATTTTAACCAATGATTTGCTTATATGATCTGAATGTGGTAATCCTCACATATGAAGTTTAAAATGTTGTTTTGACTAATAAGTTGGTTAACAAATACGCATTAAAAAAACTTAACAAAAAAGTAAAAGCATTATAACGTAAACTGGAAGAAAAACGAAAGACATACTTGTTTTTACAAAAAAATGTATAGTAGGTATTAGCTGTTCTTTTATCATCTGATCAACTTTATTCAAAGAGTTGTCTTCGACACTATAGTCGGTTTTCATCCAATTTTACGTGTTTTTTCGATCTTTTAATGATATAAATAATAGTAAAATATATTAAATAGGTACGATAAAAAATAAAAAACTGGAATATGTAAAAAAAGGAATTAGTCCAATCCCGATATTTTATAGTTTTCCATGTTATAAACGTCTTTTAACAGAGAGAGAAAATCAGAAAAACTGTCAAAATATCGAAAAAAATTCACAACATTTTGTTTTCCATATTGTTCTCATTCGTATTATCGTTGTCACTGTCATTATTCAACTTAGAATTTGTTGGTGATAGTGCCGGAGTGTCTGACGAATCATCCTCTTTGTCGTGTATGTCCGTGTCATTGAATGCAGCTTGAGATTTACGTACATTCCAATGCAATATGCCAGCTAATGATTCAAACCAATCGCCTAACTGGTCAAACCGACAAATAGCTGGTACCGGATAAACACTCGTTGTTATTCGTACACTAAAACAAAAATTAACGATTCATTGAAGAAAACACAGTTGATGATTATTAGCTTACGTGTCTTTGTGATGCAATTCATGCCGATTACGACCATCTACAGACAGCCAGGCTGTTAAACGTGTATCTTCTGATACTTTTACCTTAACAAAAAAACTTTTTAAATTAAAAAGCAGTAGAAGTGAGAGAACGTTACTTGTAATTCAATGCCAGCTGGAATGACAATCGGTCGGAATGATAAAGAGTGTGGACAAATCGGACATATAAGTAAGCACGGTACATTTGGATGAATCATACTTGCACCTGAATATATAAATACTTATTTCGGTCAAAATATAATCCACAAAGGAATAAAAAATATCCAAAAAGTCGAACTAGTAGAACTCATCGAAAATAAAGTACATATTCGACAATGACAGAGCCAGTTATCGTACAGTACGAGAAAGAAAGCTACTTTTTGTCTCAGCAGCACTGTTGCAGAAAAATTTGTTTCTATAGTGATTGCACGCACCTCATACTTTTATTGTTTGTCGCACATCTCAAAGAAAAATTCTAGATCCGACACTGGTATTGAAGACACAGGATTCTTTTACACACCCCTCCCAAGGTCAGATATTAACTATAAGGCCGATCTGAACCAAACTTTCAGAGAATTTTGGCTATATCATAATATAGTTCAAATACTGACGAATTTTAACGGCTCCATCCATCTTCGTTCGTGAAATATTTCGTATCAAGAGTTAAGATGGACCTCTTGTCACGTGATATAGTTTCCACTACAGAATAGAGATGTGCAACCCGACCCGAAGATTGGGTACGGGTTCCGTTTTTTTAATTTACCCTAAAGCCGGAAGATTTTAGTAAAAAACAACAAAATTTTAGTGGAAAAATACAAGATTTTAGCTAAGATACATGAAGTTTTAAAAAACAGTTACTTGAGAACTTAATAATAATTTGTCAGCTCAAGTCGAAAAACAAAAGTTTTTAGCTGGAAAATGAAAAGGAGAAATTTTTTAGGCATAAGTCAGGTACAGGTAGAGTATGGATACAAAGTTCTCGGGTCGGGTACAGGTGGAAAGAAAAGTTTCGGATCGGATACGGATACGAAAATGGTACTCGTAGACATCTCTACACTCTAAAAAAAGAAGGTATTTCAAAAAACTATAAAAAGTATTTGTCATTTGAGAAAAACCAAAAAAAAGGTATAACTACCCGTGAAAAACGTTTAAAGGGTATAACCATTTGAACCATATCATAACTGTTTAAAAGTTTCTTATTCTTATCAAAAAACTAATTTTAGTTTTCCAAAATACGACTAAATTATGTTCTGAAAAACGGTTGAGGTTTCTTCAAGTCACAAAAAACCCTTTGAAGTATTTTAAAATACCAAAGCAATTCAGGGTTTTTTAAATCGTGGCTTTTTCGTATTCTAAAAATGCCAAAAGGGTTTTCTGATAAAAGTAAAAACCGTTTCAACAGTTATGATATGGTTCAAATGGTTATACCATTTTCCGTATTTTAAAATACCTTTTTTTAGACATTACCACAGACAGACAACAGAAATTAGTTTTATTTTGTAGTAAACATCTATAGCCAGGAGTTGACAGAGTCTAATTTTTAGCTTTTTTTGTAATGTCTGACAGCCATTACAGCGCAAAATCCCGAAGTTGCTTATATGAGGATTCAAAAATCTTTGTTTCTATAAAAAGAAAAGGAAGAAAGTCTTTTGCCATTCTAGTACGTGGTAGTTAAGTCTTAATTAACAGTGTCGCTTTAGAGAAATGACAGCGTCCGTCTAGAATACAAATTTGGGACTTCTAAAAAAAGCCTCTACTTTTGATCCAAAAATACTTCCAGAAGTGATCGATGTCTCTTTTCGATCAGAAGTATTTGTTGTGTGAAATAAAATTATGCAAATTAAATTATTCATTTAAAATTAACTGACGTGTGAGGACGTTTAAGACATCTCGAGAGGTGGAGAAGCCTAAAAAAACAACATCAGCTGACTAACCACACTAATGCTCTTATTTTAATCAGTCAGGTATGGAATTTAAAAATGATAGGAAAGAACAAAATACCTGCTGCCATTGCATACGCTGTTGATCCTGTTGGTGTTGAGATAATTAAACCTTGAAATAAAAAATTATATTAAACAGTTTTTACAGCTATAGTTGAAAAAAGATTAGTAAACGTTTTGAAGATATTTAGATTTACTAGTCGGACTTCCTTTTGATATTTACTACTATTTTAACATTGGCTACTTCTGAAAATATTTGCTTTTTTCACTTACCATCTCCTTGAACTTTTGTTATGTAACTATCATTGATGTACAAATCCAAATTTGACAAATATGAGTTTGGACCACGATCAATGACAACTTCATTTAATGCTAAATGTGATATTTTATCATCCGGAAATAGATCTGGCGACAAGGAATTTCTTGTTGATGGTTCAGTTGATTCTGTAGATTTAGTTTTGGGCGTGGATGACTCCGTATCTTCTAATGATTCGGGATCACGATACTTTATTATGGAACATTTCAGTCGTGTACGAAGTAAAACAGCAACATTACCTACATAAAAAAACGCAGTTGTTAAATGCAAGAAGGAAAGAGTGTTTTTTTGTAACAGGCTCTACACTACCTTTCAACATCAAATAAAAAGATTCTAGTTTAATAGTAACTTTTTTCCTCTCTCAGAAATTCTCAATAAACTATTCTGAACGAGAAAGAATCTGCTCTATAAAAGAAAGTTAAACTAAGTAAAATAAGCTCAATATAAACAATCAAAAGTACAAATGTACGGCGTAATAAGCAATGGAAACGATTAAACAAAAAAATAAGACAATGTATTTCAGCAGTCATGTATTTCTGAAAAAAGATTCGAAAAAGCAAATTGAAGACAGTTAGACATAGAAGAGTAAGAATTTGTTGTTTTTCTTTCACTGTTAACAGATGACATGATAAATTTTTCCTCATCTACTAACACTTTCTGAATTTCTGTATTCATCAAAAACTATGAATCTGATTAAAAAATCATATATATTCTCAACATTTCTTATTCCCATCAATCACGCACATGTTTTCTGTCATAGGTAACAAACAATTAGACAAAAAAAAGATTTGTTCACTGTCGAATTTGATCTGTCTATTTCTATTTTACAAGTGAGTGCGTTGTAGTACTTTTTAACATCCAACCAGAACTAAGTTCCAGTTTTACGCAGTTTGTTAAATCTCTGTAATGCATTAATATCAACTTACCGGCAAGAACTTCATCAAGAACTTTCTGATGATTTTTATAGTCAAACGGTGTTAAAAAGCCTAATGAGCCCATAGAGAAAGATAATATTGGTGGACAACTATCCTAAAATATTATTAAACATGATTTTATTCTTGAACGTTTAATTCATTCTTTCTTACTTGAAAGAGACTTGATACATGAAGAAGTGTACCGTCACCACCCAAACAGACAATCAAATCAATTTTATCCAAATCATTTTCTAAATCAAACAGCAATGATTACTCTAAACTTTATTAGATCTACACATTTTTACCAAACCTTCATCAAATGCGATACAATTTTCACCATATTTTTTCAAAATTTCATCCGTTGTAAATGGTAAATGTGTATGCTCATTATCTTCAATGTAGACATAAAGACGACGCTAATAAGAAAAATGGATAATGTCAATAGATACTTGTAGATATTTCGATAATACATACTCGAAGTAATTCATTAATTATTTCTCGAAACTCGGGCAGTGTTGATATACCCGGTTTTCGAATAACCATAATATGAAGTGGTGGACTAGTCCAATGTAAACGTTGACTTGACGGATCTTGTATGACACTATAAATAGGAGCAATCGAAAATTAAATATCAATAATAAAGCAGTACACAAATGTATGTGTAACACACAACAAAGCAAATTTAATTTTGTTGTTAATATTGTCTGTTGTTGTTGGTGATGATGATTAAATAGAGCAAAATAAGAACTAAATGTTTACTAACATGAGCTGATCATTATTTTGAATTTTTTTTAATGTTCCCTGAAATTTTTAGAGTTAATGTTGCAAATATTTTCATATATCAATGTTATTTAAATATTCACCTTCGGTCCAAAATTGCACTTGGGTGATGGAGCAAAAGAAGATCTTGCACGCCTTGAATAAAGAGAAAAATAAAATTTGTTATCAATAACAGATACATATATAAGAAGCATGCTACAAAAATAGTTAACTTTGCCAAGATTAGTATTAAGCAAAACAGAAATACACTAAACATATTGTATAGTGACTTTCTAACAACTTATATGATTAATAAAATTCGATGAGGATTTCCAAAGTTACTATTGGATTAAGAAACAAAAAGGTCAGTAATTTTATCAGTTCATCACACAAAGTACAGAGCATTATTCTGTTTTGAGCGCCATAATTTCACAATTTGCAAATTTGACAAAGAGCAATTTAAATACAAAACAATGAATAGCAAAATGGTTCAATCAAGTGACTCACATGCAATTTTAGTTTAGTAATGGTGACAATCAGTCACATTTACGCTGATGTACGGTTATCTAGGTGTATTATCAAAATTGTCAGTTATCAAACTATATCGTGTTATATAATAAGTCTGTTTCGACATATAATCATAAACTCCAATGAATATTAAACAAATAACAGAAATGTTTCGGGGTGAGAAAAACACACCGTTTTAACAATAAACTTAGCATGATGATCAATACTGAATATTCACTCAAAATTTATAATTGTTTCAGAATTATTCAGAACTTTCATTTTTATGTGTCATATCGTTTTATACTTACAAAATAGTAAAATGAGAAGAACTGACTATCTGTCGCATATACCACCATAAATACAGGTTAAAAACGTAGTATAGCTCATAAATGTGAGATTGATTTTTAACAAATTCTCGAGATATCATTAGTTTATGAACTGTTGTTTACTGCACGATTGTGTTTATGGATTCTGTCGTTATAATATACCGCTGATATATGTTGTTCGTTCAGATTTTAGAAAACACTGGCTCTGCTAAGAATTACAGAATATATGGATAGTTTCTCTGGCTGATGAAGATAAATCAATAAATCCAAAAGGGTTCGATCGCCGAGGCTCATCCACTCAAAAACTTATCTATTTTATGCATTCAAGAGTCGCAAAGTCAACGGAACTTTCTGTTTGTAAAAGATGTCAATAATCATACTATAGTGAGATGGAAAAGGGTAAATTTCAGAGGTTGAGAAAAAGTTTTTTTCAGGCGATCAAAACGGTTTATAACGCAGCCTTCTACTGAATTCTGTTCTCTCAACATTTCGACAGTACTATAGCAGCATTGAATCTAAAACTGCGGTATAGTAACGCAAAGATTTGAGCAAACCAAAGCAAAATATCAGAACACTGTTATTAGTTAGTAATCCTTTGCTTTTGTACAGCATTTTTTGCTTAATTCAAGCAAAAACACTACATGAGAGACTCATTTTTTTCCTTTTCAAATACGCAGTAACTAATTGTATTTTTCTTAAGTATCTTTGTTAAACAAGTCGAATGGCTCGACCTTAATCATTACTTTTTATTTTAAGAACAAAGCAGTCAAATAATACAGGCGATTTACTATATGCTAGCACGGGATGGAGCACAATACGAATAGGGCACCGGAAATACTACAAAGCAACCAATATATAAAAAAATTGTAGGTTGTTAGCAATAACCATAAATTCTACGTAACAGCTATGTAATATGTTAGTAAAAAGAACTACACGATAAAAGCTATGATAGTCTTTAGCTTAAGTAAGAGTATGTTTAGTTGTTTTTAAATTACCATGCAGTTTTTGTTACTGGTTGACTAAATGCTCTTTGTAGTGGATAGTTCAGTAATTCACTATTGATGTGTTGCATTGGTGTTTTTTTTAACATTGTTAAATAATCTTCATCCTGCATTGCTTGTCTATTACCTTCGCTACTAGTGCGCGAACGTGATCGATTTAGTACGTCCGATATATGTGATCGATTACTGGTCATGCTTGTTGAATTTCATTAATTTCCTTGTTATTCGCTACGACAAACGATGCTCATTTTTGACAGTTATGATTTAATACTTAAGTAAATTTAGTTATGTTTATCTATAGAACAAAAAAATGTGAATACATGTATAATTTATCATGCAAAAAAGAATATACAATAGTCATGGCTTATGTATGTGTTTTATTTGACGTGGGAAGATTTAAGACTCAGGTAAGAAAGAAGCCGTTGAGTCAAATAAAATTTGTCCCTCCTATCGCACACATCCACATAGATCATAAGATCTTACTTTGGAGAAAACAGCAAATTTTCAATTAAAAAATGAAAACTTATTTATCCGTTGGAAAAAAAACTAAGATTATATTGAGATTATCGTATAAAAACAAGTAAAGTTTAGATTAATAGCCATTGTCAGTGCTTGCAAATATAAATTTATGATAAAAAATCCTTATTAGTTTAAGTCGAAAACTATATATCTAAAAAAAACACACCACTTCTCTAACTATGCAAAACGTTAAAAGAATAAACAAAATCAAAGCAGAAGAATGTGTTCGTGGATCATTTTATTTTACTTTATGTAAAACATGAATCAATAAAACAAATGCATACACTTCACAATTTCTCTAGTTTTAATTTAGCAGCGAGACGCTTTTGTTTTAAACCTATCCGATAATCATTATCTATACGTTTTAATGATTTATTTCCCAAACGCCTATTATGAAAATTCAACGCAGTTTTTGAACAAATAATTGGTTTCTGTTTTGTATTATTTTTCTCAGCAGTCTCGCTTAATAATCTCACTCCTAACATGGGAGTATTATCGAATGTTTTCAATGGTAGAAATGAATCATTTTGTAATTGAAAATTTGTTTTCGGCATAAAACGTTGAACATTTTTCTTATTGATTAATGTGCGAGGCTTAACTTCTTCTACTTCTTTGTTCGTTAATCCTGCCGTTTTTGTATCATTTTCGATTAATTTCGACACATTTCCTTGTCTTCTTGCTAACTGACTTTCTTGTTTTTGTTTTTGAATATTACGAAGGAACGGATCTCTTGATAATTTCTTTGTTAATCGTTTCTTCATTTTCTAAAAAGAGTAGACAGAAACTACATAATAATATCATACGTCTAAAAGGTTTGTAATCCAAAACAAAACTGGCGTTGTTTTAACTTTTTCCGCATTCTAAGTCCTTTTTAGGCCTATTGAAGTTTAAGTTTCGTTCAAAAGAACACAACGCTGGAACCAGTTGGTGTTCTCTGAACGTAAACTTTATTTGATATCTGCGTTATTCGTATTGTGTGCAGTAAACCGAAAATTCTGTAGAAAGCAATAACTGTGTCACCATATAAAGCATTCGCTCTATTGCTAGACATGCATCCTTCTAACTTCATATAAAAAGAGATATTAGACCTTTCTTTAAATAAAATTTTAATGTAAGCCTGAAACATTTACTGTAATGATTTATTATCGAGAAGACTATGAATAAAAAAAACAACAGCTAAAACCAGAGATGTTTAAAATTTATCTTTTAAAAACATTGATTATTTCATTGTTTTTAGAGCTAATGAGCATCGATTTTTTCGTTGAATGGCGTACACGTTCTAAGAAAACGCTGGAAAGGAACGGCCAACGTTTCCGAGCCTAGTCTTTTCTCTGTTGTTTGTTTCTCCGGTAATATCTACTAAAACTCGGACTTATTTTCGAAAACAAAGAGGCCTTGTTCCTTTTTCTTTGAACGTTTATTCTGTTTATTTACTTATTTTATTTATTATTTTGTTCTACTGTCCATAGCTCTTTAACTTCTTTTTGTTGAAACGGATTTACCGACAATAAGAAACTTACAAAAAAATTCCAGTTCAAGACCTAAAAAAACTATGCGTCTGCCAAGTAGTAGCGACGGTATTTCAAATGCTGGACTGAAACTTCTCAACACCGCGCTGATTTTTGTCGTTGAATAATTGTGTTTAATGTTATTTTGGGAAGTCTTTCCGTAAAGGTATGTTAGTTAGAGGATAAAGGTCATCTAAAGAGTGAAAATGTGTACAGTTCTACTGAGAAAAAATAGGTATTTTGTTTAAAAGCTACGTGCGCCCGCACGATGACTGGATCTTTTACTGAGTGAATGTAACATTCTATGAATAAGATGAAACGGCCAGTCACTCGATACTATGCGTATCTGTAGACCAATGAAAGTTACATAACTTTTATTAATTTTCGTGCACATGTACTCTGCAAACCATCTATAATGGCTATCTTGTTTTTTCTTTTCTGAGTCTAAAAAGAACGAAGTAAACTTTTTAAAATGAACGGAGTAATTTTTGTCAAACAAGATGGGGGAATTCCCCCACCTAATCGAAAACGCTGATCGGCTAAAGATCATCGAAATCGGGGGGTATCAGCTACGGACCTTCCCTCGTAAGGAACGCCGTTACTATGGACTTTGACGTTTTTCTTGGGTGAATTAATTAACTGAATGCAATCCTTTTGCGATGTATTGAAGGTTAAGAAAATCGACCTCAAAAAACCGTGAAAGTCCATAGTAAGGGCATCCATTGGCCGAACGACTATAGATATTTTTTTCAGCATGGAAAACAGTGTGAAAATTCACTTTGCAAAGGAATATCCATTTTGTTTTCGCTCGATACGTCCACTAATCATTAGCAAGGTGGTGGAGAAGGCCAATCAAATTGATCGACCGTCTCAAAAAAAAGTTGCTTGACATGAATCATCCTTTAAAAGAAAAAAAGACTGATGCGAGTGAGCACCGGAGCAACACTTTTATCTTATTCTTTTGGCTTTAGTCTATCTGGCGTCTTACAACAAGCATTGTGTTCTGTCCGCAGCTGTTGTCTTTCCGGAAAACACCGAAAAATACTCATGGATATTTTATGGATCGTTCAATAACAATGCAAGAATTGTTACAATAGAGCACGTGAAAAGAACACTCATAGTAGATGAAACAAATGAACAGCATTTTGAGATAAAAATGAGCTACGCATACTTTCTTTTCTCAGTCTTATAGGTGGCACTAGTGAAGGTGCGATTAATCGGTTTTTGAAAATAACAGAAATTATCAAAAAAATATAACTTTAGGACCATGAAAGTGTAATAATGTGAATAATCGAGCATAGTGGATGTAGCAAAGGCGGTTCTAGATGCCTGAGAAATTTCTAGAAAACGTTTACGGTTTCCAGCAATTTCTGGACTGCTGTCGATGAGAAATTATCAGTGGAAATTCCCGTAATGCAAGCCGTTATAAAGCAAAGATAAAACGATCTGAATGACGGCACCTCTTCCGTAACAGAAAAATAGATAGTTTACTTTCTGCGCTAGTAAACTTAAAAATATATATGGGTTGCTGCCGTCAAAATTCTTGCTGCGCGCGCTGACCGAAGGGAGACGCGATGAACGTCTAGGGTACCTGAGGGATGACAAAGATCTTTTTTGATTGTTCCTCTTTCCTCTACTGATTCTTCTAATTTTTCTCATGTTCAAAACTTTATAAACTGTGTTTCTCACTGGTCTTCTTCCAATCTCATGTCTTTAAACGCTTCTAAATGTTCTTGGCTTCCTTTCTCTTTCAACATATTTCCGTACGTTTATAATCAATTGTATCTCAACGGTGTTCCTCTTTCTGTTGTGTCTTCTGTGCGTTGTCTTGGTGTCCTTGTTTCGCATGATCTTAGGTGGAACGATCATGCCAAGGACATTGCTTTTGCTTGTCGGCGCAAGCTCGGAGCATTGAATCGTGTCTTTGGATTAGCTCCAACTGAAATTCGGCGTCGAATCTATCTTTCTTCTATTCTTCCTAAAATCGACTATTGCTGTGCCTTGTACGACAGTTCGTTTTCTCTTACTGTTCTTGATTCTGTAAACAAACTCGCTTCTCGTGTTATCTCTCGCAATTTTGACTTCCGTTCTTCTAGTTCTCTACTTGTGTCTCATCTTTCTCTTCCAAATCTCTCTCTTCGTCGTAAATACTTTAGACTTTTACAGTTTTTCAAAATTTATCATCGTCTAAGTCCTGTTTCTCTCTTTTACACTATTCATCGTCCTCACTACTCATCTTTACGTCTTCATCACTCTAAATACGTTCGTCTTCCATCTTCTGTTGATGGTTTTTCTCCACAAACGGTGCATTCTTCATTTTTTTATTCAACTATTACTGATTGGAATAATGTTGCAGAGTCAGTTATTTGTCTTTCTTCTTTTATGTCTTTCAAAACAGCCTTACTTCAGTATCTCTTGCAGTGAAACGCTTGTCAGTTAAGCATTTATGCTTGTTATTTTTTTGTTATTTTTTAAAAATTTTTTTGTTTTATTTTGCTACTTCTGGTTCTAATCTTAGTTGTCTTCTTTATTTTGTTATTTCTTTTATTACTATTTTGGTGTTGTTTGGCTTGAGTCATTGTTACTACAGGTCGGTGACCTTTGATGACTCTCACTTTTCGCGAATAAACATCTTAGTCTTAGTCTTAATCTCCGCAGAAAACTTCCAAGTGTGCGACCAATTTCTGAGCTGATCTGAGTGGGAAATGCAGGAGCGTATCTAGAGAAGCTCAGAGCAGGGGACGGTCCTGCCAAAAAAACTTTTCGTTCTTCCAAAAAACTTTTTTTTAAAAAACGAAAAACACAAAATAGTGACTTTTCTGATATCAGAGGAGGGGAAGAGGGAACCATCGCCCAGTAGGTACGCCCTTGTGTTTGAGCAATGATGAGTCATCATAGTAAGCAGCATTTAGTATCGTTACAAGGTCTTCCAAAAACTCTTTAAATACAGTACAAAAGCAGTACTTTTTGAGCACTGTAGTCATATTTACAGTTAAAAACAAACCCAGGGCTGTTACTTTTATTTTACTTTCTTGTTTTTATTCTTTCTTTTCTATCTCTCTGTTTCGTACACTAGTGTACTTTTTATTTTTATTTTTCTATTTATAGTTTCTTTTTGTTGTTGTTTGGCTCGGCTTATTGTTATTATACGTTGGGGACCTTTGATGAATCTCACTTTTTGTGAATAAATAAATCAATCATTCATTCAGAGATAAAAACAATACTACATAAAACAAACCTTTCTGTCGATATAAATTCGAGCACATTCACTAAATGCATGTTGTGAGCGCTGAGGAAGGGAGGTACAACGCCCTTCATTTACTAGCAATGGGCTTGTATTTGCCAAAGCAATGAACGACTACTACATGCAGCGCGACTAAAGTCATGGGTCCATAGAATCGCAGATGAGTGGTATCTAGTCTTAAAACAAAATGTCAGTTAATAAATCAAAAGTTTTTCTTTTGAATCCAGATAAATCCTTTGAGGGACCGTTGAATTGTACATACTATTGGTGAGTGAATTGCAGCGCCATTGTAACATTTGGTCAAAAACAACTTTTGAAAAAAATTTTAATCTAAAAAAATCTGAGTGGTGCATCTAATAGAGCGATGTCGAGTGTGTATAAATATAATACTTTCTCGACTGCCGCTACCATTGTGGTCGAATAACAGGACGAGTTTGGAAAAATGACATAAGATCCGAGGACTTCTCGGGAAAAAGGCACAAGTCAAAGTCGAAGGTACAAGTATTAAGCATCAGTCAATAGATCTTGATATAGGGAATCGTACAGTGTATAAGGCGACATCTGTCAAATGTAGATGTCAGTACTTTACATGGGGAAAAGACGTTTTATTTACCCCATATGAATACTTTTTTCGATAAAATTCACGAAAAAGAAGGTCAAGATAGACAGACAAAAAACTTTCTTATCTCCGGTTACCATTTTTTAATAAGAATTTGAGTTTTCCCGACTAATTCTTTTACCGACAGATTATTCTAAGATCTTATAGTAAGATTCGAGTAAGATTCTCAGCAGCGAAAGAAGAGAAAATTGAGTATAAACCGGCTGAAAAAAACATAACGAGATTTTTATACAAACTCTAATTTATGATTCATTTAGTTTTCGAGATTCATTTACAGGAAAATGACATGAATTTGGAAAATTAACAGTATATATACATAGTGTAAACACAGAAGAAAAAGAAGAATATCATCATTATAGTTAGACATACGATCGATCACATGCCGATGGACTTTTACAGACTTATTTACGCTTAACTTGAATCTTGGCCCTCTATAATAAGAAAAGCAATACTAATTAATTTTACGCGTTATACTTGTTACGTTCTGTAATTCAAAAGGTAAAAATGTCTCATAGCCCAAGAAAGAAAGTGTTTTTGAATTTTTACGCGTGTATACAAAAGATGTTAAATTGCTCCGTCCCTCTTGGACGTAAAGACATTGTAACAACAAGTTGTTGTAAAATTCTTTGAGAGAGAAAATTGGGTGTGAGACCTTTTTTGACTTTAAAGAACAGGATTGT